ATATTATATATGTCGTGTGTATTTTCTATCAACCTACGTACACCCTTACCCTTTCTCACAGGTCATTTTATCCTCTGCAATGTGGTTGCCTGGTAGAGATCGCTTCCAAGCGATAAGGCCGCCAATTGTACCTTTAAATAAATTATGTTCTTTTTTCTTCTCATATGTATTTTTTGGTGTACAATAAAGTGTATTTCATTCAAGCTAGTAGTACAAGTTACTCGACTCCATCGAGTCAGTAATTCATTCTTGGGGCGATGTATACGCTTTTACAACAAAATTCCAGAAAATATACGAAAATTGACCTGCTCAAAGTTCAAAAACTTTATTAAACTAAGTTTGTATAAAAAGGGTTATTATAATATTAAAGAATTTATGGATAATAATAACTAGAGATGAAAAGAATATCCGGTAACTATCCGGAATTCGGCCTATCCGGCCGGATACCGGATAACAATCGGCTATACGGCCGGATACCGGATTTAAATAAATACAAAATATAAAATTTAGTTAAGTACTTTATTTTTGTCATTTGTGTACTCAGTAATCACATAATTTTCTTTTTAAAACTTAGAAAATTTGTATACGTACTGCATGCACTGAGTGCAGATTATGGTGAATAATTACTTATTTGTAATTTCCCTGCATATTGAAAGGTAACAAACGGTTCCTGTCTTTATAAAAAAATATAAAGGTCACAATCGCGTGCAATTCACACTGACTTAAAAATCATTTAGAATGAAATTTTTAAGTATTTCAATAGAATTTCCTTGTGAGCTCTTTCAGCTTCACCACTCCTAAGTAGTGTTTATTTTGAATAGCAATTTAAGTAGCAATCAAGTATTTAGAATCTTGACTTGAAACGACTATTTAATCTAACCTCAAACGATCGCGTTTGCAATCAATATAATAAGCCAATGAAACAATTGCTAACTTAGCTTATGAACGGAAAGACCCAAAGTTGCCCGAGTCCCGAGTGCACATGATCGCCACCACTAACGCCACCTACGCAAGTTCGCTTCTTGCGATACACCAAACGGCAATGTTTGGTAGAATATCCGGCGGCCGGATATCCGGCTATCCGGTGATAAGACTGGCCGAATATCCGGTATCCGGTATCCGGTCAAACAGCTATCCGTTTCATCTCTAATAATAAACCCTAGAAATGAGGTGATCGCTACTAAGCTATTTCTAATTTGTTGTGTTGCTAATTTGTGTAACATACATGACTGTAAGCTGTTATTTAAAAAAAAGTCCCGCTGGGTTTCTTGCTGGTTCTGCCCAGGACAGAGGTTTTTTTTTCGAACCAGTGGTAATTAAACAAAACAGTGACTTAAAATAAGTATTATTTATAATCTATATTGAATAAAAAAGTTTATGTTTCTGTTTCTGTTTCTGTTGCCGACCTTTTAAAAAGGAGTAGGTTTGGGAGTAGTTTCACGTTTTTTAAATAAAAAATAAATAAATAAAAGATAGCACATTTTTTACATAGAAATAACAAAATAAAACAAAACAATAGAATAGCGTGTTGTCATAAAACTATACATACAACTTTATTCTTATAATTTAAGCAGCAATATTATAATAGAACGGGGAAAAGTTTCTTCATATTTTATTTGTATAAAATTGAAGAAAAATCTGTTTGGTTGTACCGTTTGTATTTGGGTTGTTTTAATATCAAGACATATAGGAAATTAAGAAAAATTAAAAAAACACGACTGTTAACGCCCGAACGGTGGTTTTCGAATCGACGTCAGAGGGCGCGCGGCTCGGTGCCATACCGGTTTTGACGTCGGTCGAGCGGTGGGTGTTGAGAACGCGTAAAGGTGCATACGAGTCGTCTGCCAGCTGTGCTAACGCCAGCACGCTGTCAATTTTTGTTCGGGAACTCGGAATAATTAGGCGCGGCTAGTAAATATACTGTCTAGGATTTGTAACGCGCTCCTTGCTGGAGAGCTTCCCCGGGACTCATTGTGTCTAACTCAGAATCTGTATAAGTGCATTCGACAATATTCGCTAATGCGGCCTTTGATATTCTAGAAATAACTGTTGCTACGTGAAACGGTAGTGACCTTTGATCCGGAAACTCCCTGTTCGTTTTGCGTGTTAAGCTTTATAACAAGCGAGAGTTAGTGGCTTCTGTAAGTTAGTTAATAGTACGACAGAGTTAATGGACTGTCATCGTGACGAACGAAGAAAGTGACTGTGGACGGCGCCGCGGAAGATTACTTCAATTTGGAGCGGTGCTGACGTCTGGGCTGCTGCCGACGGCCAAGGTCTAATAAGGTCAATCACCACCAGTCACACCCAGATACACATCACAGCACCTTATTTCCCTTGCACCACACAACCGAATCCTGAGGGACCAGTCGCCAGGGGTGTCACTTCCACTATGGAAGGTATGGAGCACTCCATACCTCAAGTTTTTCAAGGTATGGAATTCCATAGCTGAAATTAGGAAAACTAAATACCCCATATAAATAAATCGCAAGCCCTTAAACCTCAATACACCACATCTTATAGTTCAATAAATAAGTTGAGTATATACACTGCAAACTCTTAAACCTTAATACCCCACGAGTAATGCGAACAAATTTGAAAATCGCGCCACACGCAGTTATTCAGTAGCGCGCATGCGCGAAACCACTACACGTGTGTGCGTTGAACTAATGCCTACGTTCACGCCTTATCGCTATGTGTACATATACACAGTAACATGGGAGCTCGTGCATTTGTGTTAGTGCCTCAGGAAAATTGTGATATTCGGCAATGTAGAAAGATTTAAGCGGTGTTTTTTTGAATGTATCACAATCACATAGAGAAATGGATAAGTATCTTGTTAAAACTCCGAGAAATATCTCAAATGAAAGCGAGACGAGGACAAGTGCAACGCAGGTTATGTCCGCATTGTCTGCTACCTCGTCAAAAACAACTGCAAATGTCAATGTTGATAATAACATTACAAGAGAAAGTCAACAATCGGAAAATGAACATAGTATGTGATGAAATGATTTACACCTTTTAGTGTTTTGCATGAGCTATTAATGTTCTCGGAAAGAATTTCGTTCGTTGCATTCAAGACGCTTGTACTCAAAGATGTTTTATAGGTCCAGATACCGTGTACGCGCGCCTAAAACGCTTCCATTTAAAAGGCGCCAATATGGGCGTATTCGTTCGATCGTTCCGCCATTACGCCAGCGACGTTCACTGTGAACATACATCACGCACCGGTGTTTTTAATTTCGCAAAATGACTGTTTGTGCTGTGAAATCATTTAAAAATTACTCTTGGAAAAAAGATAAGGATAAGAACATCACCTTTCATAAGTAACTATACAATTTTATGGTGTATTTCTTTGTAAAAGAATACGAAAGCTAAATGTCAATACAAGTAATAATACTGCGCAATAATATTCGAGTGTTGCCTAGTCTATGAAATGTTTTTACCATTTTTTAATGTCATGATCAACCGCAAAGGTTATCTGTATAGGGGTTTAAACAGTCTAATTTTACAGATTTTACCCAACCTATAGAGTTAAACCGTTTTAAGGGTTAGGGTTGAACTACATCTGGCAGCATGAAATTGCACTTTCCTGTCTATCCTTTTTGGTCATTCAAAACCGTTATTTACTAGAGCGAGAAAGAGAGCGCTAGTGTATAGTTCCACCCTCAAAAAGCCGATTGTAAACCGGTTTTAAATGTTTATCTAACATTCTTGACAATCCATACTAATATAATATTATAAACGTGAAAGTGTAATTTTTTGTTTATTTGTTTTTGTCCTTCCATCACGCAGCAACGGAACAGAGCAATTTAAAAAAATCAAACATTTTGCTATCTCTTGGCCGAAGTTTACGATTAACCAAACTTACTTTTCTTCGTCATTTTACTTAGGATTGAAAAATAATTTAATGTCTTCGTAAAAAAGCGGCAATATTTTGTGTTCTACAGTACAAAAGTGTAGTACTCTGTATATATATATAGTAATAATAGATTATAAATATATGTTACATAAATAAATATCTACTGTGCTTTTTTATTTATTTTAACTGTTACATTAATTATAGGTTTTATTACATATCTTCAATATTTTAGTGCGATGTTCGTACCTACATAACATAAAATCTCCCACATTTTTTGGGTAATCGATTCGCACTGTTATTACCGAAGTCACGCACATTAATGCAGCCATGGTGCGTAAGATATACGCGTCACGTGGTACTCACGCACACATGAATCAAAGACTGTCTTCACTATGAACGTTGCGGTGTGTTAGCAACACGGTATCTGGACCTATAAAACATCTTTGCTTGTACTATTTTACACAAGCGCGAATCAACATTCGAGCGATTGATATATTGTTATTATTTACAGTGAATGAAATATTTTTTATATGTATTTTCAGCCGAATCAGGAATGCCTGCCTCTTTCAAACGTTGGAAAAAGACTCATACGTGGTTAATGCCTAAATCCGGCAAAGTATTTTGTAGTTTCTGCACAGATGCAATAACCAACAAATTTCCGTTAGTCGAAAATAGAAGTTGTCAAATTTCGAAAGAAGCTTTTGTTACTGTAGGTTTCAACTGTTGGAAAAACGCTGCACAAACTTTTAAAAGTCACGAAAGCAGTGAATTGCATAGTGCTGCTACTGAATTTGTATTAAACAAAAACAAGCCGAACGTAGTTGATATAATACAAGAATCGAATGAAAAAGAGAAGTTGGAAGCTAGGATAGTGTTAAGGGCAATTTTTACGACAGCTAGTTATCTTGCGAGACAAGGGTTATCATTTAGAAGAGAAAACGCTAAAGAATCGAATTTTTATAAATTATTAGAATTAAGATCACACGATATTCCTGAATTAAAAGCATGGTTGAATAGAAAAAAATATGAGCATTCGTGGCTTCACCACACAATTATAAACGAAATACTAAGTATGATGGCTGACGAAATAAAAGAAGATATTTTAAAATAAATTAAAGAGAATAAATATTTTTCGATCATGATCGATGAAACGTCGGATATAAAACGGCTCGAACAAGTATCAATTTGTTTCAGATCAGTTGCTGAAGATTTGACTCTAAATGAATATTTTATAGGATTCTACGACACAAAAGATACAAAAGCTGAAACGCTTTTTGAGATTGTCACTGATGTAATCGAAGAATCTGGATTAAGTATCGCAAATTTACGAGGACAGTGCTACGATGGTGCTAGTAATGTGAGTGGTAAGATTACAGGGCTTCAGACACGAATACGCGAGGTAGAACCTCGAGCGCTGCATGTTCACTGCTTAGCACACAGTTTGAATTTAGTAGTACAAGATTCAATGGAAGATATAATTTTGATAAAAAATTTCATCGGGATTATTAAAGATCTACTAAATTTTATACGTGATTCCCCGAAGCGCTTAGGACGATTTCATGATTTGCAGTCTGAGAAAAGCCCCGATCTGACACCATTTTGTCCTACCAGGTGAGTAAAGTATATTCATTTATTTTAGGTAATATCCACCGTGTAGATATCATTTATATTGATAAAATCATGTACCTAATTTTGTAGGTGGACCATGAGAATAAGTTCTCTTAAACGATTGTACCATGATGCTAACTATCAAAGTGTCATTGATTTTATGCTATTAACAAGTAATGCCCGAGACACTGATGCAATTACATCATCAAAAGCAAAGGGATTCTCAAAACATTTACAAACCTTCGAAACATATTTTTTGCTTACAACTATGATTAATATTTTTGAGGCAATTGAACTACTGAATACACAGTTACAAAAGTCACAACTATGTCTAAATGAATCAAATAAGCTTGTCGAGATTAGCACGAAAAATCTTGAAACGCAACGAGATCAGAAGTTTGAAGTTATTTGGAAGGAAGCAAACAAAGGTATTGCAAAATTTAATGTAGAAGAGCCTTCTGTACGCCGCGAAAGAAAAACTCCACGCCGTTTTGATTCATCAAGCGAAGCTCATATTTTTGATACGCCGGAAGATAACTACAGAAAAATTTATTTTGAAGTTTATGACAAGGTTCTAATGTCTTTAAACACACGATTTGAGACAGAAACTATAAATTTATTAAGTAAATTTGAGAACTTTCTTATTGGAAAAAATAATATAAATGTTTTAGATATTACTAATTTTTACAATACTCAGAAAAAGAATGAATCGAAAGAAGACAATTTTGACGCACAGTTGTTAACTAATCAGAGAGATTTTTTTTAAATTACGCGAAGAATAATAATGTTCAGCTTGAAAGTGTGAAAGACGTCGTTGCTTTTTTAAAATCAGAAAAGTCTTATCGGTTAATTTTTAATGAATATACAAAGTTGGTTAGACTTTTATTGACAATTCCAGGATCCACGTGCACTAATGAACGCTCGTTTTCGACGCTCCGTTTTCTTAAAACTTACACGAGAGCAACTATGGGTCAAGATAGGTTAAATCACTATGCTATTTTATATGTTTATCGCGACCGAGTTGAAGCTTTGAATATAGGTGATTTAATGAACAAATTCATACTTAAAAATCAGCATAGAAAAAATACATTTGCTATTATTAAACAATAGCCGAGCATAACGTTTCACGCGTTATTGTTGATAATAGTCATACGCATCAAATTGTGCGTTGTGCAATTCTTGAAATGTAATTTCACGTATTCATAAGTTGTTATAATGTTTAAATGTTAATAATATGTAACGGGTTGCAATGTATGGTGCCAAACACATTTAATAAATAAACTATGATGTTCAAACTTGATTGTATTACTCTGATGTGAGATGTGAGTATTTAGATTCAATTATTTCGCGATTTGTTTCGTCTAATTATTATATACGATACATACTTCTCTATAAAAATTTATTTATTGAATATATGTGGGGTATTAAGGTTTACGAGTTCGCGGTTTTATTAAGTATTTATTAATTTGACTATAATATTGGAGATGAAGTTGCAAAAGTTTACTTTTTTGTACGTGGGGCTTTAACAATTATGGGTTATTTAGTCGATTTGTTTATTAAACTGTAAGACGTGGGGTATTGGGGATTGAGATTTCGCGTTTAACTTTATCACAGCGATTTTCCATACCTCAGATTTTTACAAAGTGACACGCCTGCCAGTCGCCTTGGATATAGGTAAGTAAGCTCCGTCTAATATTCTCCCTGTTGAATAGCAGCAGGATCGAACGCCCCCCCCCCCCTTATTGTTTATTGTAATTAGAGACTTTCCACTTTGGCCCTAGGAGGCCCGACCTACGTCTGCTCGTTGAAACTCTGCTGAATTATCCCCGGAGGATGTGACCTTTATGGGAGCAGCCGTAGGCCGTAACAACGACAATTTCCTGCCATTTTTCTATTGTTTTTCTTTCCGCCAAAATGAGTAAATCTAACGAAGATGTTCGATTCATTTTGAAGTTTTATTAGAACAGGTGGTAAAATTAAAAAAAATGTACAACCGACTTCAATATAAATTGTTTAGTATAACTCAAAAACTATTGGTCAGATCTTGATCAAATTCCACAAGGGAAGCACCAGCATTCAAGTAAAAAAAGGAATCATCGAAATCGGTTCACCTAGAAAAAAGTTATGAGATAACACATAAAAAAACTTACAGTCGAATTGAGTACTCCCTCCTTTTGAAGTCAGTAGATAAAAGGAAAATTACGACTAAAGCCTTGAAAAAAAATTTGTGACGTTTATGGACCTAATGCAGTGTCAGTAACTGTAGTTTCTGTGATGTTAATGCTGTTAGCCTATGCGGCTCTTACAGCTGCAACAGACTCGGAGCTCGCTATAAAAAAGCTACAAAAAAGGGGGGAGATTATTTATTTCAGCGCAATGTTGCGGACACGATCTTTTGGATAGTGTTGGGTTGGTAATCTGGGAAGGGAGGGGGGGAATAATATTGTATTCAGTTATGTGATCACATTAACCTAACATGGATGAGTTATCTAACGGCCGAACGAACAGGGGGTGACAGGCCCGACTCCGACGGCTAAGTCGTATTGTTCGATGTTCTGGGCGGTGAGAACCGCCTAGGGACGCGGGTGTACGGTTCGTATGCGGTGTGTGGAGTAAACGGCGTGCCCGTCTGTGGACTCGCTGCGTCCCAACCTTTGTTGTACTAACAGTGTATGTGAGAATGGGTGATAGTGATCGCTCCGGTCGCTCTCATACGAATAAAGTCGATACCATTTTTGAAATAATGGAGCAAGATCAGCATATTAGTAGTAACTATATAGCCGAGGAATCGAGGATTGACCACAAAATAGTTTTAACCCATTTTAAAATGTCTGGCTATACAAAATAACTCGATATTTGGGACCACACGAGCTCACTGAACAAAACCTTTTTTTTACATGGGGAAATGCATACACATACCCGCGCCGCGAGGGCAAGGATGGGTTATGTCAGACTCGCACCGACTAAAACCCCATGGTGTTCCTCTTTCGCCGCATATTGGCAGGGCCACGGGAACGTTTTCGCACACATCCGCGGCCCCACCAGCGCTGGCCACCCCATGGCAGCCCCTTCTCGGGGGAGGACCTCTCCTTCTCATTCTCCTTCTCAGGCAAGGCGCACTAGGAACACAAGACACGCCCCCCCTCCACGGCCTCCAACTCCACCTACGTATCGGATCCCCCCGAGTTCGATACGTGGAGGCCGTGGGGCCAGGAAAATCGAGCACTAAGTAGCACCCGCTTTCCCGGCCCCAGCGGCGGATCTGGTCTCTAGCTCCGCCGCCAACCAAGTTTCCGCCGCGGAGGGTAGGGAGAACGGCGCCTCGCAATTCCGACACTGTTCTCCCCCCGCAGCCCCACCACCACCGCATCATCGGTGCGGCCCCGTCAGGGTTGCGGAGGATAGGGTGAGTGGCGCATCGCCATACCAACACTCCTCTTCCTCCGCGACTCCAACTCGGCTGCAGCGGTAGGGGGAAAGACACCCCTCTCACCGTAGCCCACCGACCCACATCCGAAGTGGCCTCGCCAAGCCCACTCGGAGTGGCCACCTCAGGCCGGCCCTACAACACGGGCCAGCCAAGGGGTTCCTCTTTGTTTACTGCGGGTAACCAAGCCACGGCTAGCCACGGCACTGAACGAAACCTAGTGAATCGTGTCCTCATTTGCGATTTTCTATTCAAACGTAATGAAACTGAACTAATTTTGAAAATATTGATCATTGGTAATTAAAAGTGGATCACCTACGACAAAAAGTTGGGAAAAAAATAAAAGTCAAAGGGTAGTCAAACTCCACATACTGTAACCCGGATAAACACGCAATAATGGCTAGCTTAACGTAGTAGAGACATGCTGCAGCTATTAGTAGTATAGTTGTAGCACAAATGGGTCGGCTCGATCGGGGAAGGACCACACTCTCACAGAATACCAGCGTAAAATAGCAGCTTTTTGTAGAGAATCGGAGACCCTTTTTACTGGAAAAGAAACATTTCATCTTAGTCCTCACGGATGAAAGCGCTTCTGCATTTTGATTCTTAAACGAAGATAGATGTAGATGTCTATGGGCCACAGTAACCACTTACTATCAGGTGGACTGTGTGCTCGCTTGTCACCCTTCTCCTATAAAAAAAGGCTTTTACCGCCGGGCAAATCCATCGACTTGGATCTCTACTAATACAACCAATGAGACTCAAGCAAGAAAATGAGAAAAAAAACTGTCCAAGTGCGTGTCGGCAGGCCATGCACAATGTAGAGATTGGGTCACAATATGTGGGCTTTCTTGATGATAAGATAGTAACTGAACGATCTCATATAAGAGAAGTCATATAAAATGTTTTTCAAGATGTATTACACAATTTTTAGGCGCGATTAATATCTATAACTATGGCGAATTACAGACGGACAGACGGACGTGGCGAAACGGGGTTCCTTGTTGTATAACTACGGATCCATAAAAACGGCCGAAATTAATCAACAGAAAAGGAGTGGACTTTCATCATGATGACGCCAGACCACACACATCTTTGGCCACTCAGCAAAAATTGAGAGAGCTTGGTTTGGAAGTGTTAATGCATCCACCATATAATGCTGACCATGCACCCTCAGATTTTCACTATATTAGGCCTGATATACATATAAAATCTTATATAAATGCCAGGCCTAATATAAGAAGTCAGGCCTTATACTTGTGACTACTAGATACGTTATGACATATCGCTGGATTCAATAATTTTTTATACGTAGATTTTTTTTATTTAATTTTACTCGTTTAGACACTTGTGTGCGTTGCCACGTTATCTCCTACAGGTTCTCCGTGTGTTGACGCTTGATGCAATTTTTAAATGCAGTTAATAAACAAGCAATCTAGGAGTCTTTGCAAAAGTGCAGTGGTACCTACTATACGCTGGACTGTGTACTTTATAAAAAGCGCAAGTCCGATCGTGCATGGAATGTTGCTGCCATAAATGAGCTGATGTTGCAAAATGTCACCTAGCAGCTTTAGACTTAATGGAACGTAGTGCTAAGAGGCTTATTGATGACATGAATTTGGTTAAAATCAATCTCACCAGCCTCGAACACAGGCGCCACAAGGCGTACACAAGTAGCCATTCTTTCGGTTTTCTACAGGATGCATTTCAAAGAGTGTTCTCAAGAATTGCATAATATAATTCTTCCCCTTCCCCTCTACCATCGGACAACCAGACGTTCAGCCAGTCCCCACCTTTTCGTTTTTGACTTACCACGCATTCGAACCAAACGGTTTGCTACATCGTTCGTAATGTGTACAGCAAAGGAGTGGAATAAGTCGGCAACATCTGTCGTTCCATCCCATTACAATGTTAGTGTCTTCAGGGCAATAGTGAATAAGCTTTTGTCAAGTCGGTGTGCTTCACCATCTTATGCTACAGCACCACTTACCATCATGTGGGATTGTAGTGAAGCGCTGGTTTAATATAGTAAAAAAAGGGAAAATAATAAAATAACAACGGTTCCGTACCATCATAATACAATTTTTTAGTAGGGGAGCACCTTATAATTTTTTAATTTTTGTTATATTTTTTATTATTTTTTTATTTTTTGTTATAGCGGCAACAGAATTACACATTCTCTGAAAATTGCAACTGTCTGCCTATTACGGATCATGAGATACAACCCGCTGACAGGCAGACAGACGGACAGCAGAGGCGTTGTAATCTCTCTCTCTCTTTTGAATCTCTCTAATCTCATACATAATTTACAGATGATATCCGTAGGAATCCATATTAAA